AAAATGTCGAGGCTATAATACTTTTCAAATTATAACCGATTAAAGTTATCCTATTACGGCGTCTGAAATTCGCGCGCTCAGGCATGATACATTGCGCGCGCGATTGCGGGGTGCCCTTGTCCATTGACTCACATTTAAATATTGACATAATTGATGCGCTTATCGCAAAAATATCTAATTATCGAAATTCAGTTTCTTATTTGAAAACATTAATGATTTTATAAGTTAATAACGTTTTAAGTTTAAAAATCGAATTTTGACAGTTAGGTTACTTTTGCTGTAGGCGTCTCAATTTTTATACAATAACAAAGAGATCGCTTTTAAGTTTTGTCTCGTTTATTTGTGATTATTTTTATTATCAGTATAATATTACAAAATATCAATGAATAAAAATAAGATATAAGAAATGATTTTAAAAATAATGAATTTAAGGAAAAATAAGCTAAGAGAAATGGTATTAATTTTAAAAATAATGAGAGTTACAGGAACTGTTCGAAGTGGCCACCATCGCACTCAATACACAATTGGGCGCATCGAAGAAGATTTGTTGTAGCGCTAATAATCATATTAGGCGATAAAGTGGCAATGGCTTCTATTATTTTGTCTTCTAATTTTTCGAGATCACCAATCGGTTCTTGGTAAATATATTGTTTTAAGTGACCTCATAAAAAAAAAGTCCATAGAATTTAGATCCGGTGATCGGGAAGGCCAATTTCTAGCCAATTTCTTTTTCAAATTAATACCATTTGTCTTATCTTACTTTTCCTTAAATTTTATTATTTTTAAAATTAATACTATTTCTCTTATCTTACTTTTATTCATTAATATTTTGTAATATTATACTGATATTAAAAATAATCATAAATAAACGAGACAAAGCTTAAAAGCGATCTCTTGATTGTAGGCGTATTATGGATAGAAAAGACTAGAGTACGTTTCAGGAGTTAAGTACAACTTTATTCGCCTGGCGGGAAACGACGCTGCGGTCGATTCCCGGGACCGACGAAATCGAGCGTTGTTACAAGGGCTCTCTAACGTGCCCAATCACGCTCCGGCACGTCGCCGGCTGCTGTCCCTCGACCCAGTAAATACATGTATAAACATAATATAAATATCACGCCGAGCGCTCATGTACATTCCAACAGTCTACAGTTCGGCCATTCTGACCGTTGACCGTCTCCGCCAAATACGTCGCGTTGATGAACGCGTCTTTGTCGAAAATTTATTTTACTTTTTACAATAATATAAAATTGAAGTATAATTATGACGTATAATATTAATTTTGCACGTATGGGCGCATTCGGTCAGGCGCTACAACGCCGGTATACGGTCGCTGTACCAATTGGAATCCGTCGACGTCGGTTACGACGTACCGATCCAGTACCTTTTTTACAACGTATGGTCCTTTAAATTTTGGTATGAGTTTTTTATTTATGCCCACGGTAGTATCGATGTTTCTAATTTCTACATAATCGCCAACCTTATATGGGCGCGCCGCTTTCCGCCTTAAATTATATCGCTCGGTATTCTGTTGCTAAGATCATTTCGATGTTTGTTGCGGCATCTTGTCGCAATTGGTCGAAATTGCGTTCCGAAGAGGCACTTTGAGGAGCTGAAGGAAATCGCGCAGCAAATCGTTTGGCTCTCCTTTTTGTCCTAGGCCAAATAACAAGCGAGCAGGGGTCTCGCTGGTCGCGCGACACATCGTATTATTAAGATAATACTCGATCCTGTGTAGAACCGAGTCCCAATCGGAAGGTGACTCGCTTAGCTTTGCCAACATCGGAATTATAATCCTGTTAAATCGCTCTACCTGACCATTAGCCCTTGGAGTCCCCACGGCGATTAAAACATGTTTGATCATCTTGGATTTCAAAAATTCAGCAAATGCGTCGGCCGTAAAGCAAGTGCCTCTATCCGAGATCAAACGGTTCGGCCTGCTGTACGCTCGAAAATAATCGCGGAGATATCCGATCGATTCCTCGGCCGCGGTTGATTTACACGGATAGAGTCGGATAAATTTTGTGAAGGCATCAATCACGACGAGCAAATACCGATATTTTTTTTTGTTTTCTCCAAAGGTCCAAGATGATCGATATGAATCGTCGCAAAAGGCAAATTATCCTTCGGAATACTATGTAAGTGCCTTCCGCCTTGCCGCTTGGCGGCGAAAATTCTACACACCGCAGGCAATTCGCGATATATTTTTTTATTTTGTCGCGCATCTGAGGGAACCAATAAACCTTTGTTAAGTTGTCAATTACTTTATCGATCCTTACGTGGCCCAGATCGTCGTGACAAGTTCTAATTACATTAGCCTCCATCGATTGGGGTACGTAAAACAACAATTTCTTATTCTTATCTTTCCGGTACACCAGGCCTTTGCGCAATTCATAATATTTTATATCGCCCTTTTCGAGTTTGTCGCGGATTTCGGAAATTTCCTTGTCGCGGTCCTGGCATACGGACAAGGTACGCTCGAACGTGCTGCCCTCGAGCACGAGCACGCTGTGACAGCGGCTAAGTGCGTCCACATGGTTCATACGCTTTCCTGGACGGTGAACAATCTCGTAATCGTAATTCTGTAGGAAAAGCGCCCAGCGCGAAATTCGAGGGTTTACGTTTTTTTGTTTAGTGTAAAGCGAAAGCTATCACAGTCCGTTATGATTTTAAATTTTCGTCCCGCGAGATAGACGTGAAATCGCTTAACGGCGTATACGACAGCGAGACACTCCAATTCGAAACTGTGATACCTCGCCTCGACCGGCGTCGTTCTCTGACTCCAGAACGAGATCGGTCGCCACGTTCCATCGCCTTGCTTTTGCAGTAAAATTCCGCCAAAGCCGCTCGCGCTTGCATCGCAATGCAGTTCTGTATCCGCATGTGGCGAGTAGACCGCTAATACCGGTTTACTCGCTAAACAGTTTTTGAGGGTCTTGAACGCAGCATTCTCCACGGTTTCGAACACGAAAGGAACATTCTTTTTTATCATTTAATTCATATAATGTACCGGCTATTATCGAGAACCCTGGGATAAATCGGCGAAAGTAGCTTGCCAACCCGATGAACCGCTGTACTTCCTTCACATTACGCGGAACCGGGTAGTTCAATACCGACTCGATATTCTCATCGGTTGGGCGGATTCCGTGTCCACTAACGCAATAGCCCAAATATTTAATTTCTGTCTGCGCGAAATAACATTTATCAAGGCAAAACTGCAAGCGATGCCTACCGGCCAATTCGAAGACACTGCGCAGAATTCCGACGTGCTCACTGATGTCTCTCGTCGCGATTAAGATATCATCCAAGTAAAGCAAAATTTTATTCTCTCGAACCAACGGTGCGAATATCGAATGTAAGCGCTGGAATACGCGCGGCGCATTAGTTAACCCAAATGGCATGCGCAAATATTCGAACTGCCCCAGTGGCGTCACAAACGCCGTGTACTTTATTGAATCTGGGTGCACCTTAACGTGATGGAACCCATCTTTTAAATCTAAGATTGTGAAGTAGTTCTTATCTTTCAATCGATCGATGTTATCATCAATTAATTTAGTCGGGAAATTATCTCGTATGGTGATCTCTTATTTAATTCGCGATAATCAACGCACAGCCGAAGGCTGCCATCCTTTTTTTTGTGAGCACTATGGGGCTCGCGTACGATGAATCGCTACAATGGATGATCCCCTTATCTATGAGCTCGTCTAACATTCTACGCAATGCCTCTTTATCCGCAAACGATAATCTACGCGGACGCGAACTTATTGGCTGATCATGCTTGAGTACAATAGCCATTTCAAAATCCGGTATGCGACTGTCGGCCCGTAAGTTGTTGAGGTAGCACGATTTGTACGCATCGCAAATTTCTCGGACTTCTCTCTCGCCCACACCGATTTGCAACACGTTCCGCACGCAAAGAGGATCATTGCGATTTTCGATGTGCATTATTTGATCAGCATCGTCAGCCTCGCCAACGCTGGCAATCATAACGGTTTTCCCGAGCGTAACGTGCATCGACGGACACGTCAAGAAATCCCTTCCCAAGAGAACATTAAAAAGCATAGTGTCGTCCGGAACGACATGAAATCTTATTCCCACGCGTACGTCATGGACTTCGACGCTACCGCAAAAAACGCCGTCGACTCAAAGTCGTGAACCATTAATCCCATAGAACCGGCCCGCACTCTCGTCCACGGGCAAGCAAAGCACGCTCGGAACGCAACTGCTTTTAATGAGGCTAATTGGTGAACCGGAATCGATTATTGCGCTTACATTATAGTTCACTGAGTTACCGCATTCGTCGTCAGCCGAGATACTGATGTCAATTGTGTATGGCTCTGGAGGCGTAGACTGCACCAAGTTCACCGGTATCTTCTGTGTCGGCTTCGCAGCCGTCTCCACCGCCGATGATCGCGCGCGCTTAGAACATCCCCGGCCAAGTGCTCCGATGATCCACACACATAGCAGATTCGCAGAATTGGAGGCTGTCCGCATTGCGCCGCGGAATGCCCCACCTGCCGGCCTTGGTTGCATCTCACCGACACCCCCGTCGATCCCGTTCCACCGACAGCCGGTTTGGTGATGTCTCTCCGCTGTCTATTGGGCTCGGTGTTAATTTTTTTAAATGCCATCAGTAATTCTGTTTTTGATTGAAATCTCATCAAGCGCGCCTGGTTCTGCAGCTGCGTGTCCACTATACCCTCGATCAGGTAGTCCAGGAGCTCATCCTCTGCGACCGGAACCCGGTTGGCCAAGATCCTTCTCGTGGTAGTAATTGCAAAAAGGCTCATTGCCCCTCCAGACGCGTGCCTCGAACTCCCTCCGGAGCGTTAATTTACCCTGGCGCAAATCGAACATTCGCTCCATTTCTGTCAGGAGATTCTCGGTATTTAATGCTACATGCTCCGCTTTTGAGTAAAACCACGCTAACGCGTGTCCCCTCAATCGGGAGCCAATCAGAACTTTCGCCGAATTTTCATCAAGTAGGTGGTTTTGGTAGGTGTTTCTTAGGAGCTCGAGCTGGTTTCTCCATCTTTAAAATGTGTTCTCCGTCGCATCAAACTCCAGTAATAATTCTTTGATGCCCCTGACGCCACCGATCCCGGAAACAACGTCGCTCGACGATTGCGGCGTCGCCGCCGCACCTCGGGCCAGTTCTCGTTCTCGCAGCAATATCTGCCGCTTTCTTTCCCATAATTCTTTTTCTCGACGTAAAAAGGCCAGCTCCATTTGCAATATACGTTCCTCCGGTTCCGGTGGAACGTTCTCGCGCTCCTCTTGCGCCACTGTGACTCCCGCCATTTCGTCCTCCATGCCGCTTACGTTTTCCAACGCGTTGTCCAAACTCAGAGCGCCGGCCACGCGCGACGCCTCCCGTCGCACGGTCAACGCTGTCCAGACGCTCGGGTCGTTTCTTTCTAAACGTTGGATCAATTCCGATTTCGCTCCCCCAGACGGCAATCCCCTCTCGCGAAGGGCTCAATCTCCTCAGCTCGGCCACCGTAAAACTATCGCCCTGAGGCGTTTCCATCTCCCTCGCGACGGATGCGATACGGAAAACGGTACGCCGCCGCGTGCACTCTGCTCACGCAGGATCCGGAGCTTGACGTCGCCGGAAACTGCCACAGCCCCGCACGCGCACTCCCACAGAGCACACCACGCGTCCCGATACCACTCGCGCGCGGGTAAAATCGCGATGAATCTTACGAACCGACTAAGATTCTAGCTCCTCGAATCCCACTTCTGAGATTGTAGGCGTATTATGGGTAGAAAAGACTAGAGTACGTTTCAGGAACTAAGTACAACTTTATTCGCCTGGCGGGAAACGACTCTCGCTGCGGCCGATTCCCGGGACCGACGAAACCGAGCGTTGTCACAAGGGCTCTCTGTCGTGGCCCAATCACGCTCCGGCACGTCGCCGGCTCCTGTCCCTCGACCCAGCAAATACATGTATAAACATAATATAAATATCACGCCGAGTGCTCATGTATATTCCAACGGTCTACATTATCATTGTATGAAAAATTGAGATGCCTACAGCAAAAGTAACCTAACTGTCAAAATTCGATTTTTAAACTTAAAGCGTTATTAACTTATAAAATCATTAATGTTTTCAAATAAGAAACTCAATTTCGATAATTAGATATTTTTGCGATAAGCGCATCAATTATGTCAATATTTAAATGTGAGTCAATGGACAAGGGCACCCCGTAATCGCGCGCGCAATGTACCATGGCTGAGCGCGCGAATTTCAGATGCCGTAATAGGATAACTTTAATCGATTATAATTTAAAAAGTATTATAGCTTCGACATTTTTGTATAAGAGTTTTCGTCTTAGAATGCTCTCTAGAATCTGCCAGTGAAAGGACATACGACCTTTCTGGGGCACCCTGTATATATACAGGACAAGGTCACTTTGAATTTTTTAAATGGAACCCCCAATTTTTCATTAACTGAGTCGACAAGGCACACAGGGGATA